GATGATCCTCCTCAGAAAAAAGCCCAAAATAAGTACACTGATGATAAAGTTGGGAGTATGGTGGTATGAATGTTAGTTATGAGTCAGAATAGAGGAGAAATGAAATTTAGTAAGTTAAAAAACTTTAGGAAAAAAATAAATCCTAAGATGTAAGCCTTAGGAAAAATGAGCCCTTAATTTCTTTTAGGGTCTTCAATAGACTATCTAAATGATAAACAAAAGAAACAAACCAGAGGGGCCAGCCCCATGGCCGAGTGGTTAAGTTCACATGCTCCACTTTGGTGGCCCAGGGCTTGCCTGTTGGGATCCTGGGCACAGGCCTACATACTGCTCATCAAGCCATGCTGTGGTGGCGTCCCACATAGAAGAACAAGAATGACTTACGACTAAGATATACAACTATGTACTGGGGCTTTGGGGAGAAAAAACAAAAAGAGGAAGATTGGCAACAGATGTTAGCTCAGGGCCAATCTTCCTCACACACACACAGAAAAACAAACAAACAAAAAACCCAGAAGAAAAGACTTATGTTCCCTTCCAGTGCTGATGTTCAGGGATGCTCTGATTTCTTCACATTTTGGATTTCTCTGCCTCTGCAATGTTGTTTGTCTGAAGATGCATCATGACCTTTCTGGATAAGGTAAGTGTGTGAGGAAATTGGTATTTTCCCACCATTAACAGAGACTAACTTTAAACCCAGTAATCTTGGTAATCGTTTTTTCTTTAAATACCCATGGATTAAGCCTTAATTTCTGCAGTCTGATTCCCTTGCAATTTCTCTGCAAGTTCTTATTTAATAAATGGTTTTTGTCTCTTAGTTTCTCAGTGCAGTTGGAGGTCTCGCTGAGATTGTCCAGGGGGACGTATTTCCAGAACTGACGAAATTGTGCTGCTGGAGAAATGCATTGCGTGGCTGTTTACACTCGGATGTGCCCCTTGTGCAACTCTGAGGGTGAGCCTTTTATGGCAACAGCTTCGACTCCTGCTGATGTTTCTCTCCTCCCCCCCACCACAAACTCTGCTTCTGTTTCTGATTCTGGATTAAATTTGATTCTTAGCCGAGTCTAATTCTCGTTCTTGTTCTTATCTATAGAGGGCCACTTATGTCCCTGTTGGTGACAACAATCCGTGAATCTGGTTTTATGATTTGACATCTGGCGGTCTCTATTGGCAGACAAACCGCAGGAATCTATTCTCTGCTGGGTGGCAAACAGTCAATTACCAAGTTTGATCGTATTTTTTGTTTTTCTCTCTCTCTCTTTTGGTCTGTTTGTCTTGAGAACTCTGGGCTATCTCCCGGGGGCCTCACTACTGTTGTCTTGCATGCTATTATGAATTTAAGTCACTCATAAACTTGTCTCTGTGTGTGTGTTTGTGCACGTGCACGTGAGCATGCACATACATGGACACACACACGGGCATAAGCGTGTGTCCGTGACTCCTAGAAAACACCCCTATGAGATTAGGAGCTGCCTGAAAGGTGGATTTTCCGTTGTGTTTAGTTTTGACCCATAATTAAAGCGATACATCCAAAGCTGCCAGTTCTTTTGGTCTTTATGTATGTAAATGAAAAGAGCATTCTACAAAAGAATTATCTGATTACAATATAATCTATCTGTGGGTAGATCCCTTTCTCCCCACTCCACTATAGGAAATTTATGGAGTGTAACTGGGAACAAATTCATGGGTGAAGGCTCATATCCTCACCAAAGGGAACTGAGTCAGAATTTCACCAAACTCTTTTATTCCAGAAGCAGATGACTTCCTAAAAGCCGATTGCTTAAAAAAAGATCAACAAAACAAGAATTAATTCCCAAGTTAATGTTCTATTTTTGATGTCTATGTGAGAAAAAAACACTTTCTTTCTTCTTAATCTATCTACTGTCTTCAATTTAGGGCTATAATTGTGCAAACTAAGATTAAACATTCTTTAAATGATATTTTTTTGGATATTTTATTGGAATATTAAACTATTCTAACTGACACCTCAGAATAAAAAAATTCCTACTATAGATTATAAACTAACAAATCCTCAGAAAAACGATAATTATTCTGTAAAATAATAACATATAGAAATTGGCCCTGCTTACAAACTATTCAGCATGGCAGTTAAACATTCACAAAGTGAATTTGTTAATTTCTTTTTCATGACTATGTCATATTTACACAAGTTCAATAACAATTCGTCCTCCTTCCTACCAGGATAGAATTAGATAAATTAGTTTATCAACAAATCAGTAATAATAAATCAAATTTGTAAAAAAATTTGTATTCATGCCAGAAATCTCACTCAGTTAGGTATGATAATCCCAATGTTAAGAATCAAGGACAGATTAAGACCAACCAAAAAGACAGTTATCGTATGATTCCGCTCATACAAGGGACTTAGAATAGGCAGATTCATAGTGTTAAAAAGTTATTCTAGGAATAAGGAAGGAAGTTATTCCAGCAAAGAGTGGATTGTTTCAGGCAAGGTCACCCTCCTTTGGGGGATTTTTGGGTCTATCAGGCAGATGACCTCACTAGCACTGACCAGATAATTCCAGATTGACTGGTTAAAGGTTAGACTCCTGGGAGCGGCTGAAACTGCAGTTAGGTTGGTATTAAGTCTTGGTTTGCTGAGGTGGGGCTTAGCACAAGTGACTCCATTTTGGGCCTATTTCTTTTTTAAAAACAGAGAGAAAGTAGAATGGTGGTTGCCTGGGGCTGGGGAGAGGGTAGAGTGGGGAGTTAATGTTTAGTGGGTACAGAGTTTCTGTTTGGAATGATGAAATAGTTCTGGAAATAGATAGTTGTGATGTTTACACAGCAATGTGACAGTAATTAATGCCACTGAATTATACAGTTAAGATGGCAAAAAAAAAAAAAAATCCCCTAAAACAAACAGACAAAGAACTTATGTCAAAACCTCAACCGAAACACTGGGGAAAGTCCCATCTCATTCCCAGAAGTGCATTGAATTAAGTACTCCAAAATAGAAAAAATAAACATTCATTTGTTGGTAAATAAAAAAACAAAATCAAGGATGTCTTTTCTTTCGGGGAAATGACGTTTATCAAGTCCCTCCTAGAATCTGATCTGATACTGTTGGAAGGCTCAGGAAAACCCAGCATTACAGGGAGTAAAAACAACACTTCTTTGGCAGGCCACAGCATTAACTAACGTGGACATCTCTGTGCTCTGTGATATCCTTACAGTTAAAATTTGACCGCTGAAACCTGGAGAAGCTAAATCGATGTGCCTTGGTCCCTGACCCCAGTAGCTGAACTGATAAGAGCAAGAAAATACTTCTGAGCCATGAAAGTAAAGGATGACTCCAGGGACTTGACAAATCCTCCAGACAAAAGAGAACTATTAACCTTCTTAGCATCATGGGGCTCGCGTCTTGTTCACCATACGCTATGAGCTCTTTATGTCCGTATGTATTGATCAACACATCTTGTAACACATAACTGAATACAACTTGTCAAATAAGAGAAAACATCAAATTAATAATACTGAATCAAAAACTGTTTCAAAAAGCCACATGTAGTCAAATTGTTATCTTAGGGGCAGAGACTTGAACAAAAGGAATGGCTATATAAGTAAAGCTGAAATATTGCCCTGTGGGCGTTACAAATAAAAGCGCGTATCATATGCAGGAGGAAAACACTTTGCACCCTGAAACAAACAAACAAAGCAAGCAAACGGATCATTCTGTTGAGTTCTAGTTCTCCAAATCCGCAAAACCTGGATCATTTCCTGTAAGCGGCTGACTTACAACAAAAACAATTTTATTCTTGGCTGTGGCGATGCTAATGTCTGAAGACGTACCACGACCTTGGTTGATATGATAGTCATGCAAGAAAATTGCTGTTTCCCCACCATAAACGGACTAACTATAAACTTAATAACCTTGGTAATTTTCTGATTTTTGTTTAAATATTTGTTTCTTTTTTAACTGAGCCAATCTTTCTAAAATCTGACTCTTTTTCCCTTTTAAATAAAGCATTTTCTTTCTAATTTTTGTGTTTGTTTCTGAGCCTTCCTTTCATAAGTTTAGATGACTCTGTTCATCCGGATATTTTGAAGTATACTGGGTACCATGCAGACATTACGTGTGAAATCTAAAAAGTAGCTACTACGAACGTATTTACTCAGTAATGGTCCTGATACTCAGGAACTGGATCATTTGGAGGGGGAAGTGGTGCAGGGTGGAATTAAATTAATCTTCCCTCTTGTTATTCCTTAATCAGCTGAGATGACCATCCAGAGAACCCGGTGAAATTGACATTAGCCAGTAACCAGAGCATTACAAGCTCTTGTTTACTGAAATACTATTTGGTCCTTATTTTTTTCCTTCCGTCTCTGTCTCTCATTCTCCTCTCCCTCCTCCTCCTTCTCCATCTGCGTCGTCGTTTTACTTTACAGCTCAAAAGACCAGCATTCTGTCCCCATGACCTCCATTTCCCCTTTATACAGTTTCCTGAGATGACAAATCTGGCCCCTGCCTTTTCTTCCCCTGCCCCTCCGTCTCCCACTCCTGCCCCCCCCGTCTCCCACTCCTGCCCCCATCTGGCAGCCCCCTCACCTGCAGGTACCAGTGTTTTACCAGCCGCAGGAGGCTCTTCAGCTTGGTTGGCCGATGCTTCACGAAGTTTCTCTGCAGCTCGCTGAAGGATGGGGAGAAATTTCCAGGGTAACCGTTGGCCTCAATCAGGCTCTCGTAGACCTCAGGGTGTGGCCGAGAGTTGGGACCAGAGGGCCCTGAGGTGAGAGGAAGAAAAGGGAGAGAGTGGGGATTTAGGAGGCCCCAGATTGATAAGTAGTCTGTGGGAGGGAGTCTGCTAACGCCTGGGGGTCTCTCTCCAGGGGAACCTGAGACCTCATAGCCTAAGAGAATAAAGGTTTGCTTTGCTTGATTGTCTTTCTGGAGACCTGAAAGTGGGATTTCCAGACCTCAGGCCACTCAAGGACTGTTGTCTTTTTTTGATGTCCCCAACACCCTTGGTTTCCCTTACTGTTTGTTTTGGATCTCTTTCTCAACCTCCTGACACCCGAAGAGGAGAACTGATTCCAGACAAGAAAGCCGAAGCGTGTCCTTCCCAGCACGCAGCCCTAAGGCAGCCGGGCAGTCTCTCTGTTGCTCAGATGAGAGCCCATTTCTGACTCCTTCTCCACAGAGCAACTCCCTGCAGCCACTCTAGGTGATAGGAGCTGGCACACGAGGTGAAACCTGTGTTGTCTGGGCGTGTGGCTGATACTGTTTACTTCAAACACCGAGGACTCTGCCTGGAGACAAACCTGGTGAGTTAATTCTCCCAGGCAGCAGCCCTCAGCCCGTGGCTGGTGGGAAGTTGGGGGATGAACACTCCAATTGAGGCATGCTCGACGCTGTTGCCTAGAATTCTCCAGGGTCATGAAGCCCAGCTGCTCACCATGGTGACTTGCTCCCTATGCACTTTGTGACGCCCCTCCCTTCCCTGTCTCACTTCCCTACTATCCCTGCCAGCGTTTCCTGGGACTCCTTGTCCCCAAACCCTCATCTCAGCATCTGCTTCTGGAAAAGCCTGAACAATGACAGGCCCCTGCACCCATGGTAAGAGCTACAAAAGCATCTGAGGTTACCCTTCTAACTTCTTTCTCTCTGTGGGTCTCCCTTCCTCTCATGATCATATATTTATCTGCGTGATTCCTTGATAAATCTGTTTCCCAAGTTGAGCCACATGACAGCTAGAGTTGGCTCAGTCCGGCACCCTGCGGTTGCCCAGCACCCAGCACAGGACGTGGATTGAATGGACAAGTGCAGGTGTCTGTGTGTAGCCATGAATGAGAGGTGGGGGAGGTGCAAGTTTCCCAGGAGGGCAGGGGTATGAGTCAGGTGGGCTTCCCCTCTCCTTACTCAGGGCTTTGTAGGCAGGCACCATGGTGACAGCGATGGGCTCCGCCGTCCCCCAGGTCTGGATGGTGAAGACGAGAGCATCGGGGACTCCCTGGACCACCCTCAGCTCCTCGAGCCTGAGGTCTAGCAGGTCCTGGCAACTCCACAGCTTTTTCCGCATCAGGCTTAGAACGGATCGGTGGTACTCGGCCTCCTCCTGGAAGCTGTGGAAACAGCTCAGGAACACTACCAGCTCCACCTCCGTGGTGTTCCTGAGCACTGTGCCATTCCCGAAGGAGCCCACCTGCAGAACACAGAGCCCGTCACCCGGAGGCCACTGCCTGTGCCGGGCAATCCCTGAGGCTCTTTATGTGGATTGTCACACACAATACTGAGGGAAGGGTGGGTGGTATTAATATCTCCTCTTTACAGGTGAGAAAGCTGAGATGTCAAGACGGTTAGCGAGTCACCTAGGGTACTCATGGTAGAGGCTGGGTTTGAACTTGGCAGCCCCACTCCCCAGCCCAATCTTCTGATTTACTGCACTGCATTGCTCTGAGCCGTAATCTTCTCATCTGCAGAGAAATGCCCACTTCAAGGAAATAGTAATGTCTACTCCACAGGGTTGTCTGAGAATTCTGGGGGGTCTGAGTCATTTCGTGACATTAAAAAGGGGGTCGCAGAATTGCCTGGTGGCTAAGAGCCGTGGGCTGTGGAATGAGGCAGCCTGACTTTGACCTTGATCTTGCCCTTGTTTCTTAGCTGTGTGATTATCCTGCACCTTAAGTTCCTCATCTGCAAAATGAAAGTGATGATGGAGCAGAGTCATGGACTTATTGGGAGGATTAGGTGAGATAATGTGCGCTAAGGCTTGCCGGGGTGCCTGGCACACAGGTAGTCAGCAATTTATTTCTCTTCCTCCTCTTCATCTAGTTGACTTGGATCATCCCTTTGGCTGCCTGGGATTCAGTTTCCCCATCTGATGGAAGGAGCCTGAGCTGGATGATTTTGAAGGGGTCTTTTTGATGTTCTAAGATTCTAGATTTGCTCTCTAGCCCATATCGCCTCTGTGTACAAAGCCCCACAACTCTCTGGCCTTTCCTCTTTCTCTCTCTGGGTCGAGAGTAGAATTACTGGGGATGCATCGGACCTCAGGTTGGCTACCGCTTCTGTGGGTGGAGTCACATTGTTGGTGCACTCTGATTATAATCTGGGTATCATGGGTTGAGCACTCACTGTGTCTGGCAGCACTGAAAGCACTTTCTGCATACAGTACGTTTTAATCTTCACACCCACTGATCGAAGTGTAATTATCCCCAGTGTACAGATGAGAAAACTGAGGCAGTGAGGGGTTAACCAACTTACCATGACTCATAGCCAGGAGTCAGATAGAGTCAGAACACAGGCGTGGTTCTTCTACCTCTTTCTTCCTCTTGACTCAAGTCTGTGAGCCACACCCTGCTTCTGAGGAGGAGACCCGCCATCTTTTGCCCTTCTTTTCCATTCTCTTTTCCACCTACATACAGACTCAATGCCTCTGCCCCAGTGAGAGAGTTGGGGATAGCACCCTGCATGTGGACGAAGGTCACATGCCCTTGAAGGCTGAACCTAGACTGCCCTTCCCACCTTTCCCAGAGGTAAGACCTAGGCAGAGAGGAAAGAACATTCTAGAATAGACTTCATGACTTGGCTTCAGTTTGAACCATTTAAACCCAACTCATTGGAGGACAATCATCCACTCAAGCTGTGGACCAGCCCAACTCCCCAGATTTTCAGGGCTGGAGGAGGGTTTAGAGCTCGAATAAAGTATTATTTCTCATTGGCCATTGCTCTTTCGGTATCGCTATTATTTAATGGCTTAAGGGGAGAACTCCGACTTTTCCTGTTCCTTCTGCTTCATTCTCAGGTTGTCAGGGTGCCAGTTCAGGAGGGTCTGCCTGACTCACACTGGTGCTCCAGACCCAGAAGAGAGCTTGGGAGAGAATCTATAACCACGCTTTTGTTTTTGAGCAATTATCATGCACTAATCATTGAGCCGGCGTTGCCCCATTTGCTTGATGAGGGAGAGATGATGATGATGATGTTGCCCCAACTGCAGATGAGAAGACAGAGGATTTGAGAGATAAGACAGCAAGCCTAAGGTCACACAGCCAGGAAGGGAAGGAGACAAGAGTCAAACCCATGTCTGTCTGATGTCAAAACTTGTGGTTTCTCACTTCCAAATCACATGGCCTCAGGTCCCAGAGGCTGGGGAGTGGTGTAAAGAACAGATAGGGGCCTGAGACTGCTAAATCCTTCCCTGTAGCTGCCCCCCAGAGCGGGGACTAGAGCAGTGGGCTGGGAGTCAGGAATCCTAATTCTGATTTTGCCTTTACCACTAGCTTGCTGCGTAAGCTGGGGACATCTCTCACTCTCTCTGTGCCTGTTTCCTTAATGTTTAAATGAAAGATTGACTGAGACTGTCAGATTCTCTGGGCCTTACTATCTTTGACCCTCTTGAATTTTGATGCTAGCCAGTACAGGAGGTGACATGAGGAAGCTGGAGGAAGGGTTTGGGGGTGGGGGAAAATCTCATTGGGGGCAGCCTGGAGGACTGGCTGTGGAGTCAGGTAGATCCTGGTTCAAATTCCAGCTCTACAACTAGTTGTGTGACCTTAGGCAAGTCACCCCACCTCTCCAAGCTTCCATTAAAAAAACTTTTTATTAACAAAAATTTAAAACCTAGAAAAACAGAGAATACAACAACACTCATATATCCGACCAGTTAGATTCAACGAGTCTAAACTCCTTGCCATATTCGCCTCATCTAAACCACTTTAAAGTAAACTACAGACACCAAGGAATTTTGTCCTGAAATACTTGAGCATTTGTGTCCAAGAAAAGTGAACATTTCCCCCAAAACCCACAAAACTATTACACCTAACAAAATCAACTATGATTCCCTTACATTTCCGACAACCAGACCATATTAAAATTTCCCAAGTTGTCCCCAAACTGTATTTTACAGATGGTCTATTCATACCAACATCCAATCACAGACCTGGCATTGCATTTAGTTGTTGTGAATCTTAAGTCTCTGAGCTTCCATTCTGCTCATCTGTAAAATGGGAAAAGAATAGTGCCTACCTCACAGGGGCACAGATTGGAGATAATATACATTAGGGATTAGGCCAGTGTACCCCAAAAAGTGAACTATTATTATTAGCTCCCTTATCGGACTCATTGTGCTCAAGGCAGCAGTGCAGTGGGGTGTCCTGAGATGTGAGCAGCGTGGACTAGAGATAACGAGGTGAGGAGTCCCCAGCATCCTTAGGGACATGGATCCTTGTGCTGGGCTCTGCCCAGCCCTGGCCCAGCGATGGAGGGGACCAGTCTCACCTTGACCACCTTCAGCACCCGCACCTCCTGGTCCAGCCCACGCTGCCCATGGAAGTGCTGCTCCCTCAGGAACTGCTCCAGGGTCCGCACTGCCTCCAGCACCTCTTCTTTCCATTCCCGGCTGGGCTGTAGCCACTGGGCCACAAAGGAGTCCAGCCTGGAGGCAGGAGTGTCATACAGCTCCGGGGTCAGTGCCATCTCTGTCTTGAGAGTATAGCTGCTGGACAGATATATAAGCACACACCTACCCAGCTCCTGGGACACACCCCCTTCTTTAAGGGGGTTCCTTCTCAGCTGATCTCCAGCACCATATGGGATAAAGGACCAGAGTGGAGAGGAAACCAAGGGTGACTGGCAGACCTGGGGCTCCCCTTCTTGGAGACCCCTTGCTGTGGCAGGGGCACTGAGGGATGCTGAGCCAAGGCCGGAAGGTCTAGGGCCACCTTAAGAGGCCTGGCTTCCAGCCAACTTTTCTGCTCTTGCTTTCGATTCTCAGCTTTCAGAGTTTCCTTTTTATGACGTTTGGAAACTGAAATTGGTTTGAGATTGACCCTAGAGGAGTCAAATCTCCCAGTAGGACGGGGTCCGGTGGTATCTGTCAATCCTGTCACCCTACCTTGCCGTAAGAAACTGAGGCTCAGAGAGAGAAGGGACTTGCTCATGGTTGGGGTGAGCAGTGGGAACTCTAGAGTCCAACAGCAGAGACTTTGAATTCCAGTTGGCCCTTCACCAGACTTTTTTTTTTTTTAAGGAAGATTAGCCCTGAGCTAACATCTACTGCCAATCCTCTTCTTTTTGCTGAGAAGGACGGGCCCTGAGCTAACATGTGTGCCCATCTTCCTCTATTTTATATGTGGGACGCCTGCCACAGCATGGCATGCCAAGTGGTGCCATGTCCGCACCCGGGATCCGAACCTGCGAACCTAGGGGCACTAAAGCGGAACATGCTCACTTAACCGCTGTGCCACTGGGCTGACCCCACCAGACTCTTAATCTCTCTGACTCTCCCATAGTTTGCCATAAAGTGGGTTTAATAATAACACCCGACCCCATAGGTTGTGTGTGGATTAAGCATGAGAACATTGAGCAGAGAAAGCACTCAGTAAATGCAAGTATTATTAGTCGTTCACTAAACATCTATTGAGTGCCTGCTAGGTGTCAGACATTGTGCTCAGAAGATAAAATAAGACATGATTCCTGCCCGACGGGGCTCCCGGAGCAGTGGGGCAGACAGACAAGAGACACCAAGAGTCCAGCGTGATATGTGCTAGGTGGAAAAAAGGGCACAGAAACCTGGTGGAAAGCTGGGCAGAAGAGTTTATTTTGGGTCACCTGAGGTG